ATATCAAAACAAGCACCTTCTTTTTCCTGACCATGACCACAAATTTAAATCGATATCAAACATCTTAAGAATTTTTTTAACACCACTTTCTCAACTAAATCGCATGTAAATAATAATATTAATTATACCTCATATTAAATTACAAGATAAACATATCCTATTTTGCTATGAAAACATATGATACGAAAGAGTCTTCTGTATTTATGAGTTATTTACCTAAAGTCCGGGAGGCAGCGGGCCTTTTTCAAGGAATTTCATCCCGGCTGAGTTTAATACGGTAGTTTATACTCACATTCTAAATAACGAAACCGACCGACTGTAATATTTATTAATGTCAATTGTTTTCTACGATTTACCGAAGGTATGCATTAATAATTGTACCGGGTGTTTCACTAAGAATAGCTATGGATGTATCTCGGAAAGAATAGAGCCTGCGCCATAGAGTGTGCGGAAAAAAATATTTATAACTAAAGAGGCCATGACAAAATGCTGGAAATAATTTTCAAGTTTGTAGAATGGCCGCTAGAGCGCTAGAGTCCGCAGGGCGCAACTGCTGTAGCAAATAATTGAATTTTCACTCAACAGAGCCCTTTAGCGTCTACTGTTAAATGCTAATTATTGTTATTTATATGGTATAATATAGAATTAGAAATTCTCTTTTAAATGAGTCCTCGTTCAATGGATTCTGATTAACCAGGCCGGAGGTATTAACATTTAAATAAAAACAAATTCAACCTTCCCCAACTACTATATTTTATGAGATAGGGTAACATTTTTCAAACAAGAAAAATCCGAAATTTTCTAAAGATTATTACACCATTTTTATTATCCTTATCTAGGCAGAATGTTGTAAAAATTCAATTTTTTTATTTCCTATAATTAATTAATTAACTTGAAAATAAGTTCCAGCAATGTTTGTTGAGATCGTGCAGCCTGAAGCAGTTTTTGATCTGATTTAACTAGAGCCAAAGTCCCCACACTTTAAATTAAATTTAGTGTTACTTGTATTTCTGGTTTTACTTGAGATATACTCAATCGATTTCCGCGTTTAGAGTTGTCTGTTGCCCTATTCACGAAAATTTCTGAATATCGTAAAAATACTGTTAAGTTAAAGATTTTAGGGATTTTTAGGTCCCGGTCAAGACAAAACTTTCGCCGGGACAAACTTCCTGATTCCTGGTTAATCCCGGCCAAACCGGGACGGTTGGGAACCCTACTTCGACTATATCTACCACTCATCTTTTTACATTTCTCTTGGTTTTGCTCTTTCTGCATGAGCCTCTTTAAGTTCTGGTAGGATACCGATGTTAAAATAGTCTTCATTATCTCTCCAAGTCAAGAACAACCATCCCATCCTTATCTCGAAGCAACTCATGGCAATTTTGACTGCCCCGTAACTTCGTTGTGGATAAAGCAAGAATTCTAGTATTTAGTGGCCAAATGGACAAACTTTGACTAGTTATATTGCCAATATATCTAACAATCATTATATCGGTCAACACGATTTTTGGGTGTAACATGTTAAATTTTTGTTTCTCCTACGCTAAAAATAAGGAAAAAAGTATTTTTCTGATCAAAGTTTGCTTTTGTAGAAACTAGAGCAATTTTTCAATTTTTCGGAAAAAAATCACTGATTTTTGGCTTTTGGCCGAAACTTTGTTGGTTGAGGATTAAAGATCAGAAAAAAGTAGCTTTTCTCCTTATTTGTCCTATGACTTAGTTTAGAGAAAAGAAGAAACCAGAACCTAATACCCAAGAAAACTAAAATAAAAAATTATACCTTATAGTATATGAATTATTTCTAATGAAAGTTAAGTCACTAAAATTTGGTGTAGGTCCCAAGACTAGAATTAGAGTGGTATGTTTTGCCTTCATAAAAACCATTTATTTTCAAACCTTAGAAAACCGATTAGTTTTATCTAACAAATTGTTAATTAATTAACATTAGATTGTATTATATTATATCCAAATAGATTTAATTGCATTTTGTTTAAAATTTTCACCATTTAATTTGTGAAAAGGTTGCGCAACTCCACATTTGATTGTTTTTGTTTCTCCTCGTTAGAAACAATGGAACAATTTCCTTTTAAACTAACAGCAAAATTATGTTAATTTCTGTTACTTTTCACGGACTGCCTAATGTGTAAGAGTGGCATTTTTTCTCATGAAAGACATTAATTAAAATTAGACAAAGATCTTAAGTTTTCTGATGAGGGAAATTATTTAGAACGGGTATTTTGGGGAATAGTAATAAATAAACCAGAAAAAAAACATGTACGAAAAAAACTTTGAGAAAGTCTAAATCCGAGATTTGACCACTGTGAAAATCGAAGAAGCTAGAATTAAATCTATTTCTACATTTGAATTATTGCCTAGCAAGTTAAAGCAACACCATAAATCGTATTTCTTGTGTTTTTATATTTCCTCATAATTGAAACTATGCGTTAAACATAAAACAGTACACAGGCAATAGTATATTTCATACCGAATGGTTCATTATACTGCCTCTCGACAGTAATGAACCACTTTGCCATTTTTTGTTGTGACATGAATCTTCAAAACTAGTAAAATATAAGTAATTTTTTAGCCGCCACCACCGCTTTACCATACGATCGAAATAAAGTAGATAAAATAAAAATAAAATCTTTAGTATCGTTCCACCAGCTACTGGTTAATATGTAGGTATGTACCTTCACCATAAATATGACCATGTTATTAAATATCCCTAATGGCATCTGTGCTCAATGGTTTTGATTTATGTAATCAATACACAATGTATTTATATCGTTTATACGACCATGCAAACAAGTGAAATGCAATTACTACCAGTTGGCTTGATTGAGACAATCTCTTATTTGAGAACGTTTTACTATCAAATAAACTTTTATTTAATTTACCACAACAATTTTGAGAATATTTATGTACCTAATTATTGTTTCAAATTCAAAATTTGGAAATAAAGCCACTGAATAAGATATCTTTTTTCTCCAATGTCCCAAAATTATTAATATTTGCGACTTGAATGACAATATGAAGAGTCATTTTAACGCCTGGGCATAAAAGTAAAGCACTATGCACAATGTACGAAATAGTATATTGTATTATTATGGCGCGCTCAGACCACTCGTCTATTTGGAAAACATTTTTTATTGGCATACCGGGTTCGGCGATAGTGAGTCTAAACCCCTATAATAAATAATTTAGAAATTCTGTATAGATGACCGACGCACTATTGCCGGACCCCGTATACCAATAGCAAATGTTTGCCAAATACACGAGTCGTCTGAGCACGCCATTAGGAGTAAAAATGATACTTTTTGTGGCAAGGCTGTATGTTTTACATTACAGGCGGGGAGGCACAGAAAGCCATTTTTACACCGAATAGACCATGCTATTTAAAAGTAATACCTCTTAAGTCAAAATAATTAGTTTTTTGCACTACAATAATAAATAATACCAAAAATCAAAGAGTTAAAACCAAAAATCAACCGACAAAATATGAAACGGAATCTAACCCAATATCTAAGTATGTACAGCTGATGAAGTAAACAAAAGTCCGCCCGTAGGCTGATCTTTTAATAGAAGGCACTGGTTAAAATCACTTTTTTATATTGTCAATCACCTCGCAAAAATTAATACTTTTGCGACGTTTGAAAAAAAGTGTTATTAAACTGACATAAAGTGTCAAATTCAACGAGTGTAACCATTGTTTCTCGATATATAATTATTACTTACAAGGAATTAATTTTATTTTTTTATATTATTTACAAAACAAGGGAAAGACTGCATCTACCAGCAGTGGGATGCTGTAAGCTCCATAGCAATAAATTTCTTGCCTAGTCTATGCTATTTTTATACGATTGATGAGTCACTAGAAAGAAAATATATGTTTATCTACAACCGTTTAGTTATAACGTTATTACATCACTATTTTTTTAGTATTTCAGTTACGTTATCAGATTCATAACACAACTAGTGGTGTTATGAATCTATAACACAACTAGTTTTTTTATAATAATGAAAACCAACTACGAACATCTAAATATATTAACTTTTCCGGCAATAATGTTTCCGTGGCACGTACTGCGGCAACTTCTGAATCTGAAGGGAGACTTTCGGAATCGCTCATTGTAATTTTTAAAATGATTTTTCTGGGCAAAAAGTGCTCGCGCAGAGCAAACTGACTTTTCAGAAAAAAATGTAACAAATGTCATAGTTAAAGGTGTTAAAGGTGGGCGACTAATAAACGAAAATTAAAACAGCATTTTCTTATTTTTCGGTTGTAGATGACACGTCCGTTTAAACATGATTACAACTACTAATCGTTCACACTCGTTGTTATAATCATGTTCATAAACACACTTGTACTGTAAATAACTATTACAGAATCGCACTGCAGGTACCTTGTGAATCTTTGTAAATGCGATGAGCCGTGTATTGAAGAGACGAAACACCCTCTAAATGTAGGGATTAACGAGCATTAAGTCCAGTCGGAATTTGAAAAAATGTCCGAAAAATATATCCGTAAAACAAGTATATTCTTGTCGAATATTTTAATCGATACAATGAGTTTTAATCATCTGCTGATTATGCTAATATGTTTAGCGGAATGCGCGTCCGGTTAAGTAAAGTGTTTTGGTGTATAGTGGTGACTTAGTATTTTATGGTGGTAATTTTTGTATGGAAACCCTAATCATTGTGAGACTTTTGGACACTTTAACACAGTCTGACAGTTCCAAACAAAATAATCTACATATATTATAATAAATATAAAAAATGCTAATGTTTATCTGTGTCGTCTCTACTGAAGTAACGACTTGCTCTAGAAAGTTGCTTTTTTTTACTAAAAGATAGCTAATTGGCTCTTCTAAAAACTCTCGTCGTCGGATTTTTTGTTTTTCACTTAATTAAAAAAAAATAAAAAGTATTTTTTTTCCTGATGTCGCATGTCGTGGCGGATGCGCCAGGCTTCAACTAGTGTTATATAAATTTAAATTTACCTGTGATCCGTTCCCGGTCAATCCCAATCGAATCTTGGAATACTTCTTCATCACAACCCTCCAAACTACGTAAGCCATTGTTTAAAAATATATTGCACATTCCCAGTAATAGACACAATTTCAAGAATCACTATTAAAATGTTACACAAACCACAGTCCCACAAAATAATTTGGCTTGTTTCACTTGCATACGTTTAAAGTCAAACTGCTTTAGTTCATAATATATAAATTTTTATTTCAGATGTTGCTAAAAGATTGGTAAGTATAGGAAACAGTTATGTAATGACGTGTTTTGAATACATTATATAACCACTAAAATATTATAGTTTTAAGGTAAATAAATCTAAAAAATATATTGTTTTAAAACCCCAATTCTCTGTTTAAAAATAATTACTTCTCGGAAAAAGCAGTTATAAATGTAAATTAATGACATTCTATTTAATATTAAATTACAGAATCTTATACGCTGTATCGTTTGTACACCTTTGCATTTTTGACACCCAGTGTCTTATTTTAACAGTTCACTTATACACTCACAGGCACGAAAAACGGGCACCTTAAAATATTGATATCTTTTAAAGTTTACTATATTTTGTTCTAGTGGGCCGATTTTGATGTTTTTTAAGCAATTTGTAGCTAAATTAATTGCCTTTTAGTATCTCCTTCTAGATTAAATATAAAACTTTCTATCTGTCAATTGTACGAGTACGAGGGAAAACAAAATGTTGATATTTTGTGGAAAGTTTCAAATATCCTGTCGAATATGTTAACAATACAAGGAATTTAAAAATTGCTTTGTCATCTAGGTACGTCTTTTCTCAATAGTTTATTTTTTGATTCATCTCAATAGCTCTATTTTTAGTGGAGATATTCGCTTTTGAATAAGACAGATATTTAGAGCAATTTTAGAATTGATTTTGGGGCCTCATCAACACACTTAAAAAATAGTGTATATTGTTTTTTTAATGACACTGTCATTGAAAAGTCATATTATTATTGTTCACTGACGTTTACTCTAGTAGAGATGGTTTTAAGTTATGAACTATCGGCTATTGCTGCTTTAATTGATTCTGGTAGATCAACTTTTGGACTTAAAACCCCCATATCAGCTAGAGTAACTGTCCAACAGACAATAATAGTATGATTTTTCCAAGACAGTAACATTACATAAATCATAAACACTATTTTATAGGCCTGTTGACTAAAAGCAAAAGCAAATTCATGGTTTTAAAGTAAAAAATTCGAAAAAATGGTAGTATCTCCTTCAAAAGTGAATATCTCCAAGTTATTGAGAATAAAAAAACTAAGATGATAAAGTGATTTTTAAATCCTTACTTGTTAACGTACTCCACAGGGTGTTTGAAACAGTCACCAAAATATCAACATTTTGTTTTTCCTCGTATAATTGACAGATGGCAACTAAAAAAATCTTAAAAATCACGAAAATTTGTTCACTAGAACACAATAGGTTCGTTCCAACCCGAGTTCCAACCGGACCTAGAACCGATCCTGGGACGGTAATTTCTAGTCGCCCACTTATTGTTTGAAAAGTTTGATCGTTGGTCAAGATTAACAACTGAATTAACGGATAGGAAATTACCGTTCTAGGACGGTTCTCTCGTCCGGTTGGAACAAACATATTATATAAATATTTAATCATTAATATTTTCATGTATTGAAAATTTTAAGGTGCCCGTTTTTCGTACCGATTTGTGTAGGTTTTATTAATGCCATATTAGATAGAAAAGGTGTATTGTATACATATGTTTTTAACTCAATAAACAAATCGACGAGAATTTCAGAGACAGACGATGAAAAACGATAATAAAAACATTGGCCACATAATATGGCTAAAAATGACGCAGGTGACTGGTATTACAGATAAAAAAAATGATGATTTAGGAAAGTCGCTGAATGGAGAGGCATTTGATGATTTGCATCAGGAAGATATAAGTCCCCTACTTAAATCACATAATGTTGAACTCAGTATACTGACTATGAATGAAACTGCAGAAAGAAATGAAGATGTAGTCATGGGATGGGCACCACAGGAGTTAACACTGAATACTCTACAGAAACGTCTTACAATAGCATATACTCTTTAAAAGTTGAGGAAAGAACAGGTCTTTCTGGCATTGTCATCCTAATTTTATTTATGTGTTTACGTTTATTTCTTTTTGTTTATTGACTTAGACTTACTAGATCGCCATAACGATTCACCTACACACATGTAAACACTGACCTAAAACTTCGTTTGCCGATAGGATATATTTTATAAATAATTTTGTATTTTTCTATTGCTTTTATAGGTACCAAAATTATAATATCTTTAGTCTAATTTTGTGACATGCATTATACGACTTATACGACATAGCTGGAACTTCGAAAATAAAGAAATAGGAATCCTTTTATATCCATTGTTAGAGGTTGTTTTAAGGGTTTAAGTATTTTAAGCAAAAGTTTTAAATAGAGTTGCGAAATTCCGACTGACTCAAAACGAGAAAGCGCTCTTAAAGCGAATTGTAAACATTCCCTGGCGTGTTTTTCGAAAGAAATGTAAACCGAATAGCTCAGGGTCTGACAGGATGAATAACATTTATGGTAAACAGCATCTTTAACAGACAATATATTACAAATTTGATTTTTAACACTTTAGATTTTAGACTTGATTTAACACTTGAGATTTTTAACACTTTAGATTTATAATAATACCTACATTATGATATTTAGGATTTAATCTCGTAGATCACTTTCAAAATTTTACTGGTTTTGGTGGATCCCCTTTAGTTACATTTGTACCATATTCCCAAAACTCTTCAAAAAATGTGAATCTTAGAGTTGATAGAAATTTGCGTCCTGCCAGTCCTGCCATTGACAATATTTTAATGACTGTATAAACTGTATTTTTATGACACTTTCCATTATGCAGAAAACTCTTCGAAACAGGTCAAGGTCGCGTTTCATCGCCAAAATTTGTGGCATTTCGGTTTATTTCCAGTTGTATTGACCCACTTCGGTTTGCCTCGACTTATTTTCGATTCTTATAAGCGCCTCGTTCAATTTTGTTTCGTTTTGAGCTATTTCCACAACGTGGCGGTATCTGTACCCAAGGCTAAGGACTTTTTTCATAAATCTTAGTGAAAGAAGTAAACCTAAACGTTTCTAAAATATCTGCTGTTACGATGATATATCGTTAATTACAGCTCGTCAATTACATATAAATTCATTCAACTAGTATTTATTTATTATGCAGGGATTTAAACAATTAAAACTAGGAAAACAAAACCAAATTCGTAAACTAAACTTTGCTACAGACTACAGTATAAATGTTACTTTACCATGACCAGAAATAAAAAATAATTAGACGATTTTTAAAATATTTTTTGTATATTTTGTCTATGAGGCGCAATACCGTGGATTATACGAGTAAGCCGATAAATGGTAGACCTCTAGTTAGTCACTGTTTTATATATTTTTTTACTATGTTGTGTTTAATAATATAAGACAATGATTAAAACTAAATATTCTTGTGTAACCTTCGAGGAATAGCCAATTTAATCTACCATCGGTAACTATTTTCATATCAGTTTTTCCAAGTTTCAGTTCAATTGCAAAACGAAAAAGACCGTCTAGAAAATTGACGACACTTTCAAGACGGTCGTCCGTCTTAGCCCCGTCTACACATAAGGTTACGTGTCAGGGAAGACGGATTAAAAACTAGCGTAAGCGCGCTGCATGTTTTACCTGCGGTTTTATCAATTACAGCATTGGTGGTTAGTAAAGTTGAAAAGAATAATATAGAAGTTAATTGTTTTAAGTTATTTTTTTTTCGTAAACATGCAAAGATACTTATAAAAATAGTATCGTTTGTTAAATATCTCTAAACAATCTTGTAATATGACTTTAATTTGTGGAACTATGCAGTAAGAAGTATACAGGGTGGAGCACCTCATTCGCCTCGGTTGATTATACGAAAACGGAAAGATGTAGAAACAAAATATTTTATGGGCATATGTAGAGAAGCAATGTGCATTATTTAAAATTATTTTCAAATGTACAGTGTGTGTCAGAACTGAGATCTATACCAAAGTTATATTTTTTTATGGAACACCCAGTATTTTATTTCATTTTTGGATTCTTGGACAAAAAATAAGGCATTTATGATAAGGGTTTAATATTTTTAAATGCTTTGGTGTTTGAGATATTTAAAGATATTTAAATATGCATGCTATAATAAAAAAGTTTGTCAACACCCTGTATATTATTTTTCAGAGTTAATTCTTGTGCTGACTTTGAAGCCAAAGAAATAAACTTTTCTAAAAAAAATTATTGCTTCCTTAAATGTATACAGATGTATCAAAAATTGCTGGTCTCTTTTAAATATTTATTTTATATAAAAACTTCGTTATTTCAAATACCATACTATGTATTTTTAAAAATAATTCGCAGCAGATTTAAACGCTCTTTCAAACTATATTAGGATTTAGGCCATATAGGTAGACTCAGATTTTGACTAAAAAGCAATTTTTCAGTAAAATGGTAATCAAGATGGCTGGTGTCGCCATGGGAATTTGCTATTGACAGTTAGTAGCTATTTTCAAAATCGACATTAGTTTATGGACTTTATTTAAATTTATAACAGTTTTCTTTTATTTAATTTACCTACACTAGATTAATAAGTAAGTATTTATTATTTTAAGAAAAATAAAGAAGTAGTTCTTTGATTTATATTACGATGACTTGTAAATATATTAGATTTTCTATAAAAGAACCAATTAAGGAAAATTAATTTTCTTCACTTCCAACGACAGGTTTCTGCCTACTAGGATTTTCATATACCATAATGTGACAATATTAGCTCTGCGAAATAGGAAAAGTAGTTTTTCAAAGGAACGCTTGTCAAGAAAATTTCTATTTGGATATCTTTGATCATAAACCCTTTAGGCCAATAAGCAATCAATTGTCCCCACAAAATAAAATCACTAGTAACATTATCCATTCCTTCCGCCAGTAGATACTGCTTAATTTTTCTTCATAAAATAATAAATAATTACCTACTTATTAAACTATTATAGGTAAATTAAATAAAAATAACCTGTTATAAATTTAAATAAGGTGCATAAACTAATGTCGATTTCGAAAATAGCTACTAAGTACTAAGTATCACTAGAAAATTGCCATGGCGTCATCAGCCATCTTAATTACAATTTTATTGAAAAATCGCTTTTTATTCAAAATCTGAGCCAG